AAGCTCTCCCCTTCCCAGTCCTTAGATAGGCCCTGATTGGCTTTATTACCTTTCCAGTGACTCTTTTCTTTCTCACTGTTTTGACTTTTTTCCAAATACTAAACCCTTAAAAAGGTGTGTGTTCGTATGTATTATGTAATCTTAAATTCTAGTTTACACAAGGACATTGCATGGACATCACCACAGTGTTTGGGGGGAGTAAGCTCTCCCCTTCCCAGTCCTTAGATAGGCCCTGATTGGCTTTATTACCTTTCCAGTGACTCTTTTCTTTCTCACTGTTTTGACTTTTTTCCAAATACTAAACCCTTAAAAAGGTGTGTGTTCGTATGTATTATGTAATCTTAAATTCTAGTTTACACAAGGACATTGCATGGACATCACCACAGTGTTTGGGGGGAGTCACAGCCTATAGTTAATTGTGCACTGAGTGCTGGTCTGATGAATCTAGAACTATACTGAGCCACCACATACAGAGACATGTGTGCAGCTGCTAGAGAAGTTACTGCATTCTTTGGGCTATAGTAGCAATTGCAGACCATAATCTATTAGGAGAGATTCTACTTCCCAACACACAGGCTACGTCTACACTGGCATGATTTTCCGAAAATGCTTTTAACGGAAAAGTTTTCCGTTAAAAGCATTTTTGGAAAAGCGTGTCTAGATTGGCAGGATGCTTTTCCGCAAAAAGCATTTTTCCGCAAAAAAGTCCCGATCGCCATTTTCGTGATCGGGGCTTTTTTGCGGAAAACAGTACTGTGCTGTCTACACTGGCCCTTTTGCGCAAAAGTCTTTCGGAAAAAGACTTTTGCCCGAATGGGAACAGCATAGTATTTCCAGAAAAGCACTGACAATCTTACGTGAGATCGTCAGTACTTTTCCGGCAATTCAAGCGGCCAGTGTAGACAGCTGGCAAGTTTTTCCGCAAAAGCAGATGAGGTTTGTCCAGAAGTCTGTGGCAGAACTGGGATTAAAACCAAGATGTCCTGATTCCCAGTCCTGTGCCTTGACCACAAGAGCAGCCTCTCTCTTTTCTTATGTCTTCCGTTAATTACATGCTAAAATAAATTATTTTGTTTAGTGTTGCAGTATGCTGTAATTTGTATCATGTTGATTAAAGATACACAAATGTTTGTGGTATTTAGATATTAATGGATTTAGATAATATTAGATATTAAGGTTTCAAGAATGTTAGCCTTCCATATACTGTTCCTGTCAGTTCCAGTCTCTTGTAGCAGAGTGTAATAGTCTTATGAACAATCGGCAAAGTGTCTCTTCTGACATGCAGATTTTCTATTAATTAATAAGATTGTTACTGTTTTTATAATCTCTGCAATACATTTGGCTAAGTAAATGAAAATACTAATTCTTACCATTTTAAATAAATTGTGCACTTTATTATCACATTTGCATATTAATACCACCAGGGACAGTGCTTATATAACATAGCTATTCAGGAAGTGCCTAAGGCCTGGTATTGGGCCAGGGCAGCTGCTATTGTGACTGCTGCAAATGCAATCTAAATTCACTGATAAAATTGTAGACAAATCCTAGATAAGCTGTGGTGTTTTTTAGCAACGAGGGGCTGAAAATTAGTGTTAAAAAAAAAAAAAGTCAAATCACGTCAGACCATCTGTTGCACCTTGCAGTGCACTTTCAAGCGATGTGGAAATACAAGCATGCTAACAGAATGCATTTTTCCACACTCAGGATTTTTCCAGGTTGTTCAGTTTCATAATAAGCCTTTTGTTTATATTGTTTTTACCACAAATCCCAACTCTTAAGACTATTGAGTTAAAAAACAAATACTCTAGAGCCAGCATAAATAGTGTTCTTAGTGTTTAAATTGAAAAGTCTTTTTAAATGAGTCTAATTATTCCCATTTCTAATAATTGTTTTCTTCAGTAGATTATCAGTTATACTTCATGCAGAGGTTTTTTTTTTTTTTCAAAGCAGTTGACGCACATGAAGTGATCAAAGCTTTAAATTTACATAAACATTTATTTGTTGCATGTGATGGACTGCTGTTAAAAGTCGATTTAATATTTTAAAGGATCAGATTGAAGCAATACTAACAGAAAGATGGATAGTGAGCATATGTTGCAAAAGCTGCCTGTGTTTGAGCCACCATTGTTTGAGAGCAAGAATCAGTTGAATAAATTGTTCATTTCAGCCATAGGGGAGAGAGGAGTCAACAAAGCTGAACAGATGGAAAATGAAATATGAAGGGTTGTATTACAGGAGCTGCTCTTGTTCTTTCTTAGGGTAAACTCATGCTGAAGTTAATAAAAGCTTATCCTGAGCAAAGATAGTAAAAATGGGCCCCTACCCCACCTGCCACCTGCAGGTGAATTAAAAAGCCTCAGGGAGCCCCACCAGGACCTCAAGTGCCAGCTGTATTGATGGAATTTCTTTGTTAGCAATGTGGTGTTCAGTGATGGCTAATATCACGGCCTAAACACTGCCATGTAAAAATGTGGTGGGAGTACTTGTAAGTGGGTTACGCCATCCTACCAAGAACATACAGATCTTAAGAGAGTGTCCAAAGACTTTCCTTTCCTACGGTTTGCCTGTATTGGTAACGTCAAACTAGTAATATAACATTAGCCTCAACTAAAGCTTACTCTTAACATAGTGTTTCTAGGGTCTCTGCAGGACCTCTTCTTGCCCAAAAAGACACGCCCCCTTATACATATCCTTGTTGGAACAAACTGGACTCACCTCCCAATGTGAGTCAACAATAATGACTTTGGGTCCCAGAGTGAGACTTTAGCACCTGAGTCTATGATGATCAAACAGAAGACCCTTATATTTTTAGACTGGCCCCTCATCTGCCACACTGTTACAGGCTAATCTGTATTACTGTAGTGTGGCAAGATGAGTTCCACTCCTAGGTCCCAGACCCCTGTTCTGCCCACTACCCCACAGTTTAGGGGCTGCGGTACAAGTCTCACTCGCCTTTTTTCGGCATATGGCCTTCTGTTCCCTCGGCAAAACAACAGAGTGTTGGGGCCGATGTGCCAGGCCAGTCGGGACTGAGTGAACAGTCCTCTGGCCACCTGGGGGGAAGGGAGCCTCCGGACACTCTGTCAGAGCCCCTTACCTCCCCCTGTTACCTTTAGCAGTGCTCATGTTGTTCTGCTCAGCTTCTCTGAATCTCCTTATCAATTGTTCCTTCCTCTCCATCCGCCTCCCCAAACTCCTTCTCTACTCCCTTCTACCCTCCCCCACAGGGAAGGTTTTTAAAGCGATTCTGTGGCAGCATGAATCAGCTCACTTGGTCCTTAATTGATTATAGCTGCCCCTGATTAGCCAGGGCCATTGCAGTTTATTTTTAAGAGCTGCCTCTCTCCCCTTCTATGAAGCCCTTTAACCTGTCCTGTCACACAGATTTTTTTTTTTTAAACATTGCCTACCTTGCCTAGCCTGCCTATTTGGATCTGCAGCTAATAGTGGAAATGCGGCCATCCCTGCTGCTTAGAATGGGAACTCATGCCAACGGATTAGTTAGACTTTGTACAGCACAGTCTGTCCTCTGTGGCATTGATCCATCTGCATCCTATCCTGCTTAAGCTATGTAATTTGATCAGTGACAACCTGTATCTCCAACTACAGCTTACTCAAAATTATGTGTGATATTTTATCTGATTGGGCTTGGCCTTCGTGTTTTATTTTAAACACAAATTTTACAATTTCAGGGAGATACCCTGCAGAATAGCAAAGGATGGTGGTCTCTCACCATTCTCATTCCATCTTTATGCTAATTGATGCTAAGGATCAGAAATGTTCCCAAATACAGATATAAATAAAGCCTTGCACAATAATTGCAAATTACATAGAATACTCTGTAGATAGGCATACTGGATAAACAATATGATTTTTCTTTGAGAAAATTAACACCTGTTCCTTTCTGTCCAACTCGTGCATTTCCCGGCTTCACTGTTCTCTAGTTTCTGGTGGATGATGATGTTGTTGTTTCTATGCATCTAAATTCTCAAAATCTAAAAATCTCTGTAGTCTGGATGAAGGTGGGACTTTACCCCCCAGGGCTCAGGGAGGGGTTCCTTCCTCCCACCCCCGCTCCTCCAGATCAGTGGGCAGCCATTTTATCTCACTACACACCCCTTGCTCAGTCGCACACAGGGAATCGGCTGCAGCAACAGTTCAGGGACTCGGGCTGGTGCATAGGCCAAGCACACAATTAGTACTATAGGCTCTCACTCAGGGTGGGTGGCAACAAACATTTCAGGAGGGCTCAAGCTTATGTTCAGGCTGAGCCTTTAAATAAACAAAGAGCCCAGGCCCTAGCTAAACATGGGGAAACCAACAGTTGGGTGTCCTAGGGCTGGCAGGCAGCCAGCAAACCACAGGTGTTTTGCCTAGAGGCAGAGGGAGACTCTGATGGCAGGGGTCTAACTGAGCTCCTGAGCCTGCCTTTTACACTTCATGTCCCACCTCCTGACTTGTGGCAAGGTGTTGGGGTGGTACGGGTTGTGGCTCCATCCACCAGGGTTCAGGGAGGGGTTCCTCTCCTTCCAGGTCACTGGGCAGACACTCTGCCTCACTACAGTATCTAAATCTAATTCTCTTTGGTCCTCGGCCACCTGTCACCCAGGACAGACATAGTTTAATCTGTGTATAGTTGACCCTTGCATATGCCCTTGCATAAAAAAGGGCTTCCTTGAAAATAGTCCAGTAGGCTCGATGCATGTTTGAATTGGTCCTTACTGCTGTGTGGGCTGCAGTGGAAATCATTTCTGCTCTTGAAGAAACCATGTTCATGTAATGGGGAGAGGTCAGCTTTGCTCTGCGTTCACTCTAGGATACATGAGGATGTTAGCAGGGCTGGACAGGACTGTGTGAATTTGAAGTTCTGTGCCTCTTTAGACCTCACCCACATCCCCGCTAGAAATACTATGTGAAGGAAATTTCAAGGTGAATCTCTGGAGTTCCTAGAGTCCCTCCTGCTACATAGGAGTGTACAACATATTTCACGGACACATGGATTTCAATCCATGTCAATGTTTCTTTTGTCCATCAATAGTTTTTATTTCAATCTGAGGTCTCCTTGTGGGAGTTGCAGTTGAGATTTTTGTTCTTTGCTGTTGGTCAAGATACCTCAAGGACTATTTCTCTCATAACACATTGTGAATTTCCCACTGACAGAATTGCACGGTGCATAGTTGGAGTCACATGACTGGGTACATTGAGACATGTCCGGTTAGGAGAAATCAGGCTTCCAAATTACAACTCACGAGTAGGGTTGCCAGATACTTCCACAAAAAGTCCTGAACATGGCAGGGGAAGAAATTGGTTGAGTCCCCCACCCCACCCCCCAAAAAGTCGCTGTGCCTTTAAATTTCCCCCCCTCTCCCCCGCCAGACGTGCAGGGGGAGAATGTCCCCATCTGCCTTCCATCTGAGAGAAACAGAAAATATAGTATTTTCTGGGGGGAGGGGTGGGAAGGTGGTTGTGGTGTGTGCTTTTTTTTTTTTTTTTAAACTGGACAGAAGATGCAATTACTGGACTGTCTGGGCAAAAACGGGACACCTGGCAGCAATTAGGGGGCACTTAAAAGCGGGAGCGCCGCACAGCTGATTCCAGGCTCAATTATACAGTGCTGCCCCTTTGAAATGCTGAGGTGGCATTTCAAGGTGGCAGCACTGCATGGAGCCCAGGACCAAATTTCAGAAAATCCTCCTTTTTTGGCATATCCCTTATTTCTCATACAATGAGGAATGCAGGAATGGCAAAAGAACGCATCTGCTTTTTCGGTAGACATAGCCCTATAGTAATAGCCTTACATTCTTTCTAAGTTGCATATTGCCAAGAGAGGCTAGTGCATGTGTGCACAAACAATGCTCAGTTCTCCTTCTACTGAAGTCAGTAACCAAAAAAAGCCCTCTCATTGACATTAATGGGAGCTGGGTTCAGACCAAAATGTGAGGAAATTTAACAAAGTAGAATCAAGATAGTTGCCTAAGCCATTTTTGAACTACAGGGAAACAAACTGATAATTCTTTTTCAAATTTTTCAGAAATATTTTCTCTTGCCTTCATAATAAATCTGGCAATTTTCAGGCCAAAGCATATATCCAAGTCATAGTGTTATGAGGACAAAGAAATTAGTGCTCTATTGAAAAAAAAAAAAAAAAAGTTGGGTGTAACTTTACTATAAAACAAAACTGCACAGCAAGAGTAGATTTTGTTCTTAAATGTAGAGTTATGTACACTGTCTCATTTGAAAAACAATATTCACTTTTTTCTCTTTAGTCTGAAATTCAGAACTCCACCACACCATCTAATCAAGAGCATACTCAGCCAATATCTAATAATACCTCCATGAGCCCTCGCCAGCGCCGTGCCCAGCAGCAGAGTCAGAGGAGGACACCATCTTCAACTGATTTTAATCAGGTGCAGCAACCAAGAGTCAACACAGGCCGCACTGGATCAACTGTTCTCATTGTCCTTCTGACTTTAGCATTGGCAGCTCTTATATTCCGTCGGATATATCTGGCCAATGACTATATGTTTGAGTTATAAGCTGAGTCGTTTTAAGAGCAGTGACATGAATGTTTAATGAAGCATTCTGTATTGGGTATGACATGAGAACTGTTTACAAAAGATTACTTTTTTATTTACTCTTAAGTCCTTATGAATGTTAATATACCTTTGGGTATATTGCTTTGTAAGGAGGACAAATGTTGTCATTTCTATGAATATTAACAACTAACACCACACTCTTAGTATTTGGAGAAATAATTTGGTTGAATATGAACATAATATATAGAGGGTGGGGGAAAGCATCAATTGTGACTAGTTATTTATCGCTAAAGGGAGGCAATTTAAAAATATAGAGGTTTTACGCATTTCTTTGTGGATCATGGGTGCAGATAGTCATCCATAACTGAGTGAGCATAAAAATTTACTTTGGGGAAGGACTTTTTAAAATGAAACACAATTTCTGTGTGTTGCATTGCCTATGCTCTTAATTCAGAAGGGGATAATATTTTTGACCACTTTTATTTACAAAATGATAATTCTAGGACAATGCATGAAATGTTGGTTCAGAGACTGCGCCCTCTGTGGGGGAATAAAAGGGGCCAGAAAATTTTGTTTGTTTTTTGCTTTTAAATGTTTTTGGAAGTTAGATTGGATAATCTTTTGCAAGATTTGAATGTCTTCTTCTAATACTCAATTGTATATCTTGCTTTTTTTAAAATTGAAGATTATATAAAACATGTCTATTCTTGCAATAGTTATAAATATGTAATATAATTATTTACCCAGAGCTATTGTCTTTTAATTATTCCAGAAATATGCATAATGTGTTAAATTGAATGTTTCATATGTGCTATTATTTACTAAACAAAATCTAAATCTTTTCATACTGAAACTCTGCTATGCATGAACAAGCTTGAGGGAAGCTTTCATGAAACTTTTGGTTCTAATGAATTATCACAGTCCAACATTCATTTACACATTTTTTTTTTTGCCACCTTATTGCAATACTTCAAGAAAAGTTTAAAATTCAACTACTTTAAATCTTTCCAGTATATCAGGATTACAGCATTCATGTGTAAATTGCCATTTATTCTGATGGGTGCTGTCACTTTAGATGGGGGCCATCTGGACTGATATATTGAATTTATTTAGCCATAAAGAACAAATTCAATGGGATAATCATTTCCCCATTCATTGATTGTATTGATAATAATCAGTGCAATTGTTCATTTACGATCCAAGAGAATTTCAGTAATTTTCACCTGACTACTACTAAGATAGTTTTCACTAAAGCCAGACTGCTCCACCCTATTTGTTAACAGAAATAAGTGTGCTGTAGTTAGCACTCTTATTAAGGTTACAAAAGATACTACATGCAAATGTACTCCTAAGCATTATAAATATGTATAATTTTACATTTGTGAAAATAATGAACAAATTACACTTGTGGTGTCCTGATGTATGTGTTTAATTTATTCACTTATTAACTTTCAAAATTCAGAAATGGATTCCCAGTGGTTATTAAATTAGTTGTGCTCTGCTGTACATACAAACAGGATGTACATCAATCAGAGCAATTTAGTTTGTTTAAATATTTAAAATAAAAGTATATAGCATGTCTAGATAGATCAGCAGTTATTTAAACCTTGTACTGTCTTCTGGTCTGGAAGGAGGACAATTTGGTTTCCTGTGGTGAAAAGAGTTAAAAGTATTTTCCCCCAATAAATATATTTGTTTTGGTAGGAGTATATTTTAAAACTGTAGACCTCTTATTCGTGCAATAAAAAGTTGCTTTTTTCCTAATTGGTACATTGTTTGAATGCACTTGTTATTTATATTTGCAAGCCTGGGCCCAGATCGTCGTAACCCCTAGAAGAGGGCTATGAAGAAAAGGCCTTCAGAAGGATACCCTTGTAGAGCTTCTCCCTAATTGTTCCTCTGAGAGATTTGCCCTTGCTTTGCAGAACAGACCACAAGGCCCACCTTCAAACCTAACGTTCTCAGGGATACATCCATCAACCAAATTCTACCCTGGCCTGTATGCAGCAGAACTTCAGTGATACTGTTTCACAAAGCCCTCCGCAACCAAAAGTTGTGGGAGAATTGCCCCCTTCCGGAGAATTGCCCTCTTTCCAATTCCAGAAGGAACCATTAAGACCATCGATCTCGCCTGTTGTATAACACGGGTCATTGAACTTCCCAAAATAATTCTTTCAGCATAACTTTTAGAAAAACATCCATCCTTGATATAAAAATTGTTACTGATGGAGATTCCACCATAACCCTTGGTAAGTTATTTCAATGATGGGTTACTCTTACTGTTAAAACCTTGTTTTATTTCCAGCCTGAATTTGTCTAGTTTCAACTTCCAGCTATTGGCTAGCATTAGGCCTTTCCCTGCTAGATTGAAGAGCCCATCATAATGCTGTATAAAAAGAAAGGTTACTGTGTTTACAATTAACTGATGTATCACCACTGTTGCACAATTGTGATAAAATTTGTATAAATTTTGTCATGTAAGTTATCATTGGAAAAGGTGCTGTCTGCTATTATTATTATTTTATGATTACCCTAGCTATATGCGAGTCATTATTGTAATGAAGTTATGAAACTTTGCTCTGTGTTTTGTATCTTAAATCTGTTGTTTTTCTGGGTAACATTCCTGCCCCTTGAGACAGATTGACACCACAGCTAGCCAGCCTGCTTGATAGCCCATTAAGAATAACCAGCTTCTTTCTCAGGGACCCTCCTAAGGTCTCTTCAGACACTATGTGGACAATGAATACTTCATGACTCAGCATGGCACATGGGATCACATATTAGTGCCAGTAACTTTCCATATACAAGTGCTGTCAGTGTAAATTGCAGACTGGGACAACACTCTCCAATCCTGCTCCATTTCTGTAGACTGGCTTTCTAACAAGAAGGAAGATAGGAACAAAGAACTGAGGACCTCCAATCATTTTGGGTGATCCAGAGAGAAAAGATGCAAGGTAGCAAAATTATCACTGCTTTATCCTAACTGACAGGCTCTGAAATCCATGTGATTCCTTAAACCATTTAAGAACTTCTTTTCTTTTTTAAAAATAAATCTTGAGTAAGTTTACTAATAATTGGCTGCAGCGTGGTATTTGAGTTTATAAAAGTATGTTTTGACCTGAGGGTGAGTGAGTGTCTGATCATTAATGAGTGGAAGAACCTAATGTGTGGTGAATTTTTATCATTTATCACTAAGTCCATTTGTCTGGGTGACAACCAGGGACTGGAGTGCATAGGGGATTGTTGTTTGGCTCTCTGAGCTAGCAGTGGTACTGGAGCTCACTTTCATAACTGAAATCTTATGACAGAATAAACTACCAAATTTGGGGTGTTCCACATCGCCACAGGTCAACTGGGCTTTGGCTCAGAAGCCCACACTATGTAAGACTTAAATTTAATACTGAGAGTCTTAAGGACTAAAGATTGTGACATTGAGGTGCTCACAAGCCTAGGAAGCTATGAACACAAAATAACTTAAAATTTTGTAAAGATAAGAAAATAGATCTTACAGGGGACATCTCAGATCAAGAGATGACCAATTTACTCCTAGAATAGGAACAAAAGAATAGAAGCGCTGGTGGACAAGTAGCAGTAAAACATGGGAGAAAAATGGCAGAACTTCGAATGAAAGAGAAGGCTGAGGATGCAGAGGAGAGTGTGTACCAGACACACCTATCTAGAGGCTAAAATTGACAAGGAACCTCACAGGATGTGAATGCAACAGCTGGAGACTGAGAAATGTTCACATGCTGCAACTCTTGAGTTCTAGACAGGCCAAAGGAACAGCAGCCACAGCCTAGAATTCTGTCGTCTTTCAACAGCAGAGAGATGCAGAAATCTGTCCGGTTTATAAAGACTGTGAATGTATTGAAGTGTTTTTATCAACTTTTGAGCATCGTCTTTGATATCCATGAAATTCAAAAAGACCAATGTCTTGTTAAACAAATTGACTGGAAAAGCCAGTGAGGCATTTAATGAAATGGGAATAGATGATGCTTTGGCTTCAGTAAAATTTAAAGAAACTCTTTTGAATATTTTAAAGACTCTAAGTCTTACAAGCTAAAATTTAGAAATCCAAGAATTTGTGGAATTGTAGAGTGTACTCATAAATGTGGTTATGAGAGTGAAAGGGGGAAAAGTTTATGATGACTTTGATAAACAGCTAGATTTGATTACTCTGGAGCAATTGCTAAAATAGGTCCCAAAGAACTCAGTGGTGCAATGGGAAGCCTGATTCAGGCTCTGTCTACTCTATAACTTTTGTCAGTGGTGGTGTGGGAAAAAAAACACACCCTGGCTGGCATAAGTTTCACTGACAAAAATGCTAGTGTGGACAGTGGGAGAGTCTCCCATTGCCATAGATCAGTTACACGGGAGACGTAGCAGTACAGCTATGCCACTGTAAGGTCTATAGTGCAGATGTAGCTTCGGTCTCACAGGCAGCAGGATGAATTTATAAAAAACAGCTTGTAAAGGGTTTAAGCCCCAGGGGAAAGGTAACCCCTTTGCATCCCAGTTTAAACGGGATTGAGGGTTTAAGAATAAATCTAACCCCAATTTTTTTAAAAAAGCTCATGGGAGCCCAGAATATAAATCTCTCATTTAAAGGGGAAACAGGTGGTCTGCCATCCATGTGGAACCCCTATGTCCTGTAAACTAAACTGTCCAAAGCTGAAAACCATTCCACACAACTTGTGTTAGTGTAATGAATCCTATTGCTGTCACTTAAATTACAAAGAATAACCATACAAGTTCCCATACTGCCACCTTGAGTACAAATGCCAAATTCGCAGGTGTTTATGCTACCACTTGAATTCCAGATGAGGTGGTGGAAGAGGAAATCATCCTCACAAACTATATTAGGACCAAGAGGTAGAAGGACCAAGAGGTGAGCAATTCATAACACAAAGATCAATAGAACTGTGTGTACTGGATGATAAGGTTCAGCCTCTGATATTACTTGAGGTAAAAGGGAATTGATTAAAGAATATTGGTTGCCAGAGACACGTGTTTAACATACTGAGTCTTCCTGCACTTGCTGTAAAAACACTTTTGGCCAGAATCCACTTTGAGTGAAAAAATTTTGAAGATAATATAGTGATTGATGTTAAAGATTTGTTACCTTCTATCTTGATCAGCAATGGTATTTCAACTACGCTTAATCAGGTTAATTGTGTGACCAAGTCACAGGGAGAGGATATCGCTGAAGCAGGTTCACTGAACAATGCCAGTGCAGGCACACAATTTCTGTTTATGCCGGTTGAGAAGTTGCCTGTTTCAGAGGTGGTTCTAAACTTGAATGACAGAAGTCTATTATGGCACAGCAAAATAATGTGAGAGGGGGTCAGAGTTGATGTTCAGAATCAAGCCATTGCTTGTGTATGGAGAAGCAGATTTTTCATGCAACATGGTTTGTTGTACAGAGAATCCCCTAAACATCATCATGGTAGGATTGGCAAATATTGTTTGGTACCTGAGGTATATTGAGGTGACTTGCTAAAGTTAGCTTATGATGGTCCATTTGCAGGGCTCGTAGGCATGGAAAGAACATGACAGGTTAAAGCAAATTTTTTACTGACCTCACCTTTTTTGAAATAATGAAGGATTATTGCAGAAGCTGTGAATGTGTCAGAAGTGCAGAGGGTTAAAAGGACTTATAAGGTGCCTCTGCAGCCCGTTATCAGGGAGGCATTTACCGAAGAGTCTAAGGATATAGTGGACTCACTCCCTAAACCTTCCAGGAATGGACAGAGATGCATTCTTGTCTTGGTAGATTTTGCAATCAGATATCCTAAGACTGCAGCATTATCTAATATTAAAGCAGAGACAGTGGCCAAAAGCATTGCTTACTGTTTTTAGCAGTGGGCTTTCCCAGGGAAATTGTCAGATTGCAATTCTAATTTTGTCTTTTTTTTTTTTTAAAGCAGTTTTTTAAAGCTGCTCCTTCCCAACAGAGATCAATGGTCCTATGAAGAAACTCAGTGGAACACTGAAGGATTTGCTGGCAGTGTATGTGGCTAGGTATCAGAATAACTGGGATGTTATTTTGTTTCCATGTTTGTTGTTTGCATATAGATGTGTTCCCCAAGAATTTCAAGGGTTTGTTCCCTTAATCTACTGTATGAGAGGCAGGTCAGAGAACCCCTTAAATCTGATTTGGGTTTCTTGGGAAGGCAATACTGAGGAGACAGAGCAACCACTGGTAGAGTATGTGTGTCATAAGAACATAAGAATGGCCATATTGGGTCAGACCAAAGGTCTATCCAGCCCAGTACCCTGTCTGCCGATAGTGGCTAATGCCAGGTGTCCCAGAGGGAGTGAATCGAACAGGTAATGATCAAGTGATCTCTCTCCCGCCATCCATCTCCACCCTCTGACAAACAGATGCTAGGGACACCATTCCTTACCCATACTGGCTAATAGCCATTAATGGATTTAATCTCCATGAATTTATCTAGTTTCTCTTTTAAACCCTGTTCTAGTCGGAGCCTTCACAACCTCCTCAGACAAGTAATTCCACAGATTGACTATGCACTATGTGAAGAACTTCCTTTCATTTGTCTTAAACCTGCTGCCCATTAGTTTCATTTGGTGGCCCCCTATGCCCACTCTGGGCCAAACCCGGGAAACTTTTCTGCCCCTCTCCCAGCCCCAGAGCCCTTAAAGGGGCATGGTCTGGCTACAGTGCCTGTGCCAGTGGCAAGCCTGCCAGCACCCAGCCAGCAGACCCTGCACCTGGCATGGCATGAGCCAGCCACCTGCTGC